TGGAGCTTCAGTTAGGGAGTTTAATCAGTTCCAGCACCGAGCTCGTCATGTGAAACACGTCTTGCAAAACGTATCCAATAAAACAGCATCAATTCACTGATTGGCTGCAGGCGACCGAGGACCCACGCCCTGGGAGCAAAAGTCAACGGCACACACACGGGCTGACAACTCGTCAATCGAAACGAAATTTCTGCGAGTAGCTAGCTCGCTACATTAAATGCTCGTAGCTGGAATTGCTTGTCATCCGAGGCTGCATTGTATATCCTAAATCCGCCTAGGCATTTAAATACTATGTAAAGGCTTATACGCTTTTATTGCCAACCAGTTTGGTGACGATCTAATATGCAAGTCATTAGTTTTATCACTATAATATGTCAGCTTATTTGATTTAGGCAGGCATGTCATGTTAGCCTTACGTTTCGCGATGACGGGGTAGGTTGAATTTAAGGTCAGGGTTATATTAGAGCATACGTTTATATTCGGATTTAGTGTTGAGGTTAAGATTAGCATTTGAGTTAAGTTAGCGTTCGCAAGCCAACTAGTTTAACTAATGTTCCCGGATTTTCTATTTTCTCCCTTATTTGCATATTTTCTATTGCGTATCCGTTTCAGCACGTCACTGGCGTAATAAAACAAGCTTATACTTAAACTTCGAGTATTCCGCAGACTCCGTTAATGTCTCGCTAATCTTCCCTCTTGGTAAAACGAATGTGATCACCCTTCCTGTTTTACAGCAATCCCTTGTTGTATTTTCTCAGTAGCTCCTTACCCTATCTCCTTCTGTTCAAACTTGCAAGCGCTGATTTCCGAAATACTAAAGATTTATTACATCTCAGGACCCTGTCCGGCACATTTGCGCAGGTCATATTTGCATTTTTGGCAATACTGCCTTGTAGGGCCGCCTAAATATAGATATTCCCCACCCAACCGTCTTACGACATTGGTGGTTAACCATTTACTTCTTGGTTATCGAGTATAAGTTAATATTTAATTGTGTTGAGAGTGATCACATAGTATTAAATTAGGGCCAGTTATAGTTGTTTTAATGAGCTAAATTAAATCAACTCCTTAAAGACACTCCTACAGCATTTTTTTCTAATCAATTTTGTAGACTACATCAGGACATCATCGACGCGGAAGATCTTGACTGTGACTACCAGTGCAGGCCGTTACAGAGTCGTCCGCAATCAGGTGATCTGTTATCCGACAAGCGGGATGAGAAGACTGCCTCCCGTACAGCAGAACGCGCTGATCTCTCTACCCCTTTGACGGAGGTGACAGCCTTGAACTTTGAGGTTTCTGAGACCTCGCATAGGACAGGTGAAGACTCCAGCTGTTCTGTGGTATCACATGAAACGGAACTGGAGCCTGGTGATGAGGTTGACTACGAGGAGGACTTTTTTGAAGAGGATAAGAATAGAAGGTGATTAGGGCGGGTGGGGATTGGAA